GGGGTTGAAGAGTCGGGCTGAGCCAGCGCTGAGGGATCTGGGGGAGCTGGGAACGGTCAGGGAGAGGCTCATGGTTGGGCTGGAGGAGCTTCAGGGGCTTTTCCAACCCAGATGATTCTGGAATTCCATGAAGACTGTCTCCCTTTGGGAACATAAACAGAGGTCAGGAAATCTCTGCCCCCTCAAGCTAAACCCAGGAAATAAATTTAGTGAACAATTTCCACAGCTCAGGGACAGAGGCCTAAAAACAGTGCAAGTTGAGTATCCAGTGCTGCATTAATGGCGTAGATCTGTGGACTAACGAAGACACACACCACACTCCTAAGGAACAGCACACAGCCGTTACCTTCCACCGAACCGCTGGGAAACACAAGACAACTGGCAGGAGACAAATCAAAAGAGATTCTGACCAGACATACAGAGATTTTTTTTCTGAGTTGAGGACAGTCACGCAGCAGAACAGGTCACCCAAAGAGGATGTGAAGTCTCCATCTTGCAAGTTTTCAAGATCAGACTAGATAAAGTCCCCTGAGCAACCTGGTCTGACCTCACAGCTGCCCTCACTTCCAACCTCCTGAGGTTCCTTCTGGCCTGAATTATCCTAGAATCCTATGAAACGAAGAGCTGGATACCCTTTTCACAAGGAATATCCCTCTCTCCTGTCCCAGGCTGAGATTTACACAGTTTAATGGCATCAGGCTCCCTACATATAAAGCCTTTTTCCCCCCCCCCGATCACTTAAAACATGTTAATTTTCTGCCTGTGGCCTCCGCGTTTTTCTTAAAGCCCCAAGAAAAGATACCCACAAAGTGAGGTGAAAAAAAAAACCCAGACTTATAAGAATGGTCTTATTGGTCAAGTCAATGGTACATCTAGCCCATGATCTTATCTCCCACAAGATTCTAAAAGCACAGAACAGAAAGGAATAGAAAGCAAATATATATGACACTTCCCCTCAAATATTTTTCCAGTCCCAACTTGCAGCTCAGAAGCTGAACAAGAGGTGGAGTTTATGTATTCAGAAGGAAACCACAACAGATTACTCCTCCAAGGATCTGTTAAGCTTTTCCCTTGAGCCTGCTCAAACTCCCAGCATCTACAGCGTCCTACAGCACGAAGTTCCACAGCGTGACTATAATCTGCAGAAAGAACCACTTCCTTGCTCTTGCTTCACGTCTGCCATCCCAATTGATCTGACGGCCCCTTTTTCTCCTATTGGAAGAGACAATAAGCAATAGATCAACTACCTCTTCCCTTCATACCATTTGTAAGATCTCAGTCCTATCCCTTTGCTCAGCTGTGTCTTTTCCATGCTGAAGAGTTCAAGGCTCCTGGGTCAATCCCAGTGCAGAAGCTGTTCTGTATGTTTGATGATTTCAGAGGCCTTTAACTCCTTTTAGTTCTGTTATACCCTTTTTTGAGAGGGAGGACCAGAACCGTACACCGTATTCAACACTGGACCAAGTAATGGGTTCCTACCATGGTGTCCTGTGTTTTACCTACTATTCCTTTCCTTCAAATCTTTAACAATTCATTTGGTTTTTTGACCAGTAATAAACACTGAACTTGCAACTCTATTGGACTTCTACCCTACACCCAGGATCTTCCTCTTGAGTAGTAATATTGTTTTGCAGCTACAGTTCTTTTTGTGCTCAGATATATCACTTTGTCTTTATCTGCACTGAAATTTTCCTATCACTTTATTGCCCACCCATTGAGTCTCTTAGTGCTCGTATCATTCCAAAGCTGTTTCAACACAATGGCACACACCCGGCTTACACGAATACAACCTGCATCTGGGGTATATTTTATGCAGAACTGAACCACAATATAGAAGCCCAAGAAGCTTGGGGACCAGATCCCACTTGCACTGCTCCTATACAAAAAAAAAAAAAAAAAAAAAAAAAAATCTCAATCATGACTGTGCTTCCCTGAGAGTGTGGTCAGGCCCCCAGGAACTGAAAACTGCGTAGGGAAAGAACTGCCTGGCATGGGGTAGAGAACAGTGCTAACTGAGTCAAAAGCCCTTAATAACTGGAACTTAAACAGAAAATGGGAAAGATTAGACCAATTTTCTGCCCAGCAGTCAATCTAACTGGTGCCTGAATCAGAAAGGTGAGGGGGAATGTAAAGATGCCTGTATCACCACGTGTTGGAACAGCACTCTGCATCGCAGCCACGCCAACCAGCAACTCCCAACTCGCTACAGGGCTGTCAACAGACAGGGCAGATTCACACAAAACGGAGAAGCCAGAAGCTGCCTGCTCACTTACAAGAGATTAGCAGCAGGAAAGAAATGGCAGTAACCCGAGCAGCAGTTGTGTTTTCTCTTTGACTGGCGCACCGTTCAGGAAAAATACAGGTTGTGCGACACAACACGCAGACATTGATTCTGCTGTAATGGAAGAGAGAAGCAGCAATGCCCCCTTGTGTTACAAGGGAAGATAATGATAAACCCATTGCAATTCCTTACATTTTCCCAAACCGTTTATGAGGTGTATTCAAAGGTCAGAACTAATTCATCCTTAAAAGCACACCCTACTGAATAGGCTCTCAACTGTCCCGCAGTCAGGATTACAAACTGCTGCAGATACACAAAAAGAAACACTTGTAAAATGCTCATAAAGGTAAACCAACCCTTTTGTTGTCAGAAGTCACAATCCATCTGAAATTTTGTAACTCTTTTTGTTAAATTTATCCACAGCAATTAAATGTGAAAACTGAAAAAAAAGCTCCTGCTAATTCCCCTTTGATTCCTTTACCTCATCTATTCAAGTGCATAGTTTAAAAATCCTATTTTCAGTAGGAAAACCATTTTTAAAAGGACTAACATTAATTTTGGATGCCCTCTGTAATTGTTCAAATGCAAACTGAAATGCCAGCTCTGAAGAGTGCTGAGCTTAACAGAAGCTAAAACCAGATTCAGACTTGGGAATAATGACACGAACACGTCTTATAGCCAGAAAATGAAATAGCGTGGGGCATTTAAAAACTAGAATCTAAACACACTTGAAGTCCGAAGTCGAGAGCACAGGTTTTAAGGCTTCATTACAATGCCATTTCCAGATTCAGACAGCAAGCTGGACATCTAAACTTATTTTGCCATTAAAAATCTACCGTTGCAATTCCAGTGCACCAACACTTGGGGCTTTGTCTTCCTCTTCTCCCTCGAGATGATTTTACTAGTTCTGGCACTTCACATTCCATTTCTGTTTTGGAACTCACCTCTTAGCAATCCCCATTTAATCAGCTCTCTGATAGTTTCTCTGGGACTTGTCTTAAGCTTAACATCAAACGCTTTCCCAAGCCTTTCTTCTAACCCTTGGACAGAAAACAGACAGAGAGCTAAAGCCTTTTTCCTCAATCTGTTGTAGAAGAGTCTACCACCATCCTGAACTCTTCTGTGGGTGTAAAACTAGTAACACAAACCCTCTAGCCAAAATCGGAATTTACAACACAAAATTTGCATGCAGATGCACCAAAAAAGTGAACGGAAGAGCTTTTAACAGAAGTAGAATTTCAAGAAAATGCAATTACTTTGTAAACTTACATCCACGATGCAGTGATAAGACATCAACAATGCTGATTAACATACACAAGGTAATTATCTAGTGTCTTCCAAAAAAAAAAAAAAGAAAAACAACAATTCCAAACCAGAAGACAACAAAAAACAACCCTAAAAAAGCCAACTACGTGAGACTCATAAGAAAGGGAAATAACCTACCAGTCTTGGTAAGTGGTGATTGCGATACTCGGAGGCGTCAATAAAGGCAGAGTTGTTGGTCTACAGACAATGTCTCTGTCAGGCGTCCTTGCTTTTTCTGTTTGTCTTTGGGATAACGGTGGTAACTGCAAATTACCAGAACAACATCTTCTTCCTCTCCAGAGGTCTATGCCCAGAGCATGGCTGGAAGTACTGTAGGACTTGCTCAGCCCACACTCCAGGTAATCCAGAGCATTCTGCAAAGACAGAAGAGACACTGAAGTTCTGCAAACAAATGTTTTCCTCCCTCAGGATAAAACACATTCAACTGTTGTTCTACAGCCACAGCTACTGACAAAAGATAATTGTGTGATGAAATCTTGGCAGAGTCTGACTGCGCTGCATTGTTATTTTATCAAGTTATGAATGAACTTGAAAATTCACTCAGAGCTTGTCTAAACTAAATCCAACAGCTAATTCTAATCTAACTGAACACTTCAGTGACCCAGGTCACTTGGGCGATACGTTAAACTTTTGATATATTAAACTTTTTCAGAGAACATTCCACTCGGCATCCATCTAAAGTATCATTCCTCTCCACAGCACAAACACATTGGTTGGCCACTTGTTTTCTGATGAATCATCAGGCAGATTCACATCCTGAATCATCCAAGAGCTACTCAGCAAGAGGAACTCCCAGCTAGGCTACCCTACCCTACGTCTGGCATTGCTAGTAGAATTAGTCTCAAAAAATGATTTTGATCAGTTAAAACAGTTTTTCTAGTTTCTACCGATTTTTATTTTAAAACATCACCACAATCACTGAACTGGCTGTCAGTCTGCTTAAACCCAAGCCAGAAGTTCTCGCACAGCAGAACAGCACTGCAAAAGGGTTGTCAGTTTTGGTCTCACTCGGAGAATTTGCCTACTCAAATATAGTTGTCCAACATAATGGAGAATATTTCTGTATTGCATGCGATGAGCTGTCAGTAGAAGCTGGAGGGTTACTATAATCAGTGTTTATATCTATGGCAACCTCTCTACATTTTTCCTCCTCTTCTACCTGCTCCTGAATTTTGATCTTCACCCTGCTCTCTCCACCCTTTGCAGACCTTTCCAAGCCCACTTCACAGCCTCCCCAAATCCCTTGGTTCATTTTTCCTACAAAATGCTACCGCTGCACTCTCCTAGCCAGCACTGAATGACTTAAAAAAAAAAAAAAGAGTGGTTTAATTTCCCATAATCAGGTATTAGATCCTTCATGAACAACTGCAATGTAGCACAAGTCCTCCATTGCCTCGTGGTTTGTAACAGAAATTATGTTCTCCATTGTCATGAGACCACTAAACAACTCTGTAGTACCATCTACTCTCATACCTCAGCAAAGATTCTCAACATGGGAATAAAAGACAAAACTGATGGGAGAAAGGCATACTACCAGTTTCCTCAACCTTCCCTACTTGCTTGCCCATCCCACAACCATGTGAAGCACCCAGACAGGAAACAACGTGGCCCACAGGTACTTCACTCCTTGCCTACAGCCTGGGTGCTAGGAGGCACGCTGGTGCACATCCATGAAGTTACTAAGGCATCAACATCACAATGACCTGCACAGAAGTTTAAAATATTTGGCATGCTGTGTTTCCAAAAATATGCTAAGAGATCTTGAGTCATCCAAACCCTACTCTTTCACAGCAAAAATAAACCAGGTGAAAAGTGCTCCTAGGAACCCCAGGAAGGAAAGCCTGCCTTCTACATGGGGATCTGACTTAACCTGCCTTTACTGATAATTTTTGGAAGACTGTTTATTTTTTTTTGTTATTATTTAAGAAGTGTACAGCAGAGTTTTCTAGCTTCCCATTGGATTTCAGATGCCTGATTTTAGTCAAATCAGCAAGTACCAAGCAGACCCAGCACTGTGCTCAGGCAAACTGACTATGAAGCAGTGCAACATATGGTCTAAGAGTTTAAAAGAAACATTTATTGAAGGAGTGCTGTAGGATACACTAACTGTTAGGTTCCACTCCTCCATTCAATTTTTATATATATTCCACACAGTTTGCTGTTTCTGGCGAGCCTCAGCTGTGACAAACAAGACAATTAAGGCTGCGGTTATCATGCCGTCATTACAAACTGACACATTTCTCCAGAGAATGGGAGCTGGAGTTTAATTAATAGGGGACTGTGATGATGATGAGCAAGTGTAGTAATGGATTAACACATGCGTCATCACATTAGGTGCTCAGCTACTACAGTGGGGAAGGATGGTGAAACACTTTTAAGTGTAAAAGTACAGCACATGCAGAAAGATGGGATGCAGAGAGATTCCGTAAGGTTCCCTGCTGACTAAGGGCCAATAAAGTACGTGTCCTGCATAAAACACTTCTGAATTTCTTATGGTGGGGGGGGTTGGTTGGTTTGGTTTTAAACCTGCGGGGCTTATTTTCTCATTAGATGAGCTGCAAACAACTCTAAGGAAACCAGTGAGTAACCGAAGCAAAATCAGCTGATACAAAATAAGACAAAACTAACTTTTAATCTCAGTTTCATAAAGTACCGGGAAAAATAAAACATGTCTTTAGAAGCTTACCTCATCTGCAGTTACTGTCATGACACTTCTGCTTTTCTTCATTATTGAGATTAAAGTGCACTCCGTTATAAATAAAAACCTTGAATCCAATTTCTTCAGATGGGCAACCTGAAAGAAAAAAATCGTATTTTTTTGAATAACAGACTGGTTTTGATAAAAAGGTATGGAGTTAACTGCTAAGACCACAGCTGCTTGATAACTTACTGCCCTTTTTCATCGAACACTTGGCAGCATATGTTATGCAAAGGTAGCTCTCTGTTAGTGAAAGGACAATTCAATATTTAGTCAAATCATGTTAAAAGCCACGAGTATTCACAAAGCTCTGCAATCTAAGCAAGCCTTGAAACATGTCTAGCAATAGAGGATCAAAGCTAACAGGTTCTCCTTGCAGAGTTTTCCCTTTAAATGAGCCCTTTTCAGAGGCACAGTATAGAAGCTCTCCAAGAAACGGCTTGAGCTGGCTCTCATAGAAAAGTTTGTATGTTGTCCTAAGATTTAATCATAACTCACAAACGTTATTTATCGTTACACTGGCAGACACACACCACTTCAGCCACTAAATTACAGCCTTCGCAGAGGGTGACGCTGCAGCCACTTTGAACTGTGCAAGAGTGTGGAGGGGAAGGAAAGAGCCGAGCAGCTGAAGCAGCGGGGGAAACCAGCACACGGGCACAGCCCCCCTTGGAGAGAGCCCAGGCCCCCTCCTCTTCCTTTCTGTGGATTTAGTGCTCAAAGAAAAGCTACGCTCACTATTATATAAAGAGAACACTGAGGGTTGTGGGGGTTTTTTTGTTTTTCTTTCGCCAAAGAACAGGTAGAGCTGGAGCGCAACTTTTTGTGTGCTGACAACGTTTACCCCCTGCTCAGAAGGATTACCTTTGAGGTGGGAGACTGCTGAAGGGCCAACTGTTCATAAACTTTGTTGCTGAAGCCACTACAAAAAGCTGTGCAACCGTTTCAGGCTTGGTGACAGACTTCTAACATGATGTTCACTCTGAGAAATTATGGATTTTTAACTGTATTCAGATCACCTGTTCACACGGTGCGAGTTCAGGAGAGCAGTTCAGACTGCCTGCAAAAAAAAAAAAGCCTGCCAGACCCTGGCTGTCAACCCAGCTGATGAGGAGCAGATGTGGCATCAACATTAGGCATCTAAATTCTCTTCCCTGCCACTACCAGCAGCCGGGGTCCTGAAAAGCTGGCAACCTGCACCACTGGCTTTTATTGTGAGGTTCAAAGCCCCAGCAGCAGGTATTGAAAACCATCTCACACAGCAAGGTGGTACAAACCTGCTCTTTGGTGCCCACCCCACAATGAATTCAGAAGCCTGCACACTCCAGTGTGGCAGCTCAGCCTGGCTTACAGCCACAACAAACAGGGTGCAAATTCAGCTTAATACCATTGTGCTCAGGTTAAAGGTTATTTAGGTTGCACCTCTAACTATTTAAATTTTTAAAACACCCTTAAATTGAAAACCCACACTAACTCTCAGGCACGGCATCTGAATACAGAGCGGTGCCCTAATCACAGAGGTCTAAGGACATCCCAGTCTCCAGCAGCCAACTGCTCGTCTGCTCTTCCATGCACAAGAGAAGTGCTGTAACGAACCTGCTTCCCTCTAAACCAGATCCCTCTGGGGGGAAAAAAAAGACAGAGAACAAATCAAACCCCCAGGAAACCCTAACACAGAGCGCCAGCACTGTAGTTGAGTCTGCCTACAGTTCTGGCTGTGGCACAGGCACCTCCAGTTGTTTTCCTTCCCTTAGGGTTCACAAATCCAACACACACATATCCCTTCAGTGCCAGCCAAAGCATTCCGAGCGCTCAGATCCATGCCAGACAGAACTCCCTGCCATTTCAGCACAAGCGCCAGCACACAGGGCTGAATGCTTTATCCTGTATGAAGCAGCACTGTAAAAGAGCAGAAGGATTTGTCTTCTAAAGCACCTAACCAGCTTCTCTCCAGAAAAGGTTGAACAAGACCATCCACAAAACAACAAAAAGCACTCTGCAGTGCCTCCCCCCAGGCTTGCTCTCATCTCAGCACTCACCCCTCCTGTTACCAGAGCCAGGCCAGTGGGAAAAACAGATTTACGGCCTGATCAAGAACCCTCTTTCTACAAAGAGGCCACATGCACGCATCAGCTAAGCAATCGGGGTGGTTTTAGGCATTACAGCTGTGGAACGGCTATTAAAAACCTGACACGTGGCAGCACAGTTGTGTGGCAACGTCACTTCTCTCTGCAAACCTTATCGAGCTTTTGATCCATATTACAATCAGATGAGCAGGCTAGAAGCAAGGAAAGTCATTACCCTATTACCAGCATAAAAGTCGTACCACAGTATCTGAATAAAATTCTAGAAGTAGTTTAACAATTCTATCAATCTTCAACAACTGGGAGAAACTAAAAAGCCTTGTTATACAAAGAATCCAAAACTGAGAGCAGACAGTGAATTAGATGATACTGTCCCAGATACCATGCAGTGGTATGGATGCACAGACCAGGAATAATAATACAGCATGACTATTTGCTGCCAGCAATAAATACATAGTCTGCTGCAACATGTAGACAAAATTCACTGAAAGAACAAAAGAAAGCAGTTGCATAAGCAGCAGAACTAAGTAGACTACAGATTTGTTTTTAATAAAGTACAAGTCTGAAATGTTCGTGAGCGCCGGGCTGAGCAGACTTTGTGACGCCCAACACAAAGGAGCTCACACCGCGGCATGTCCCACAGCGGGACTAACAAATGCATCTCCCTCCTGAATATATTCACAAACCGATATAAATTTAAAAGTAAATACACAAGAAAGTAAATAAGCACACACAAAGATACGTATCCAGGAAAACACCTTTGGAAAAACAGTCTGAAAGAATGAGAGTCTAAGAGCGTCTCCTAAATTTTGCTCAACTTTAGGATCAGAATCAACACTAGGAGATGAGACATGGAGAGATGGACCAGACTGACTAACAGATCATTTCTGTGGAAGCCTGAGTCCTCTCATACCACAGCTTCCTTTCCTTTATAAATATTTATCAATTTGTCAAAGTAAGTTTAACCAGAACATAATTATAAAAACCATAATTTTGTTCAATGTAGATTGCATTTCCGAAGAGCCTACCAAGAAAATCTAAGACTTCCGTTAGTCATGACTAAATTACTGTTAAAATCTGAGTCATTCTTTTCCGGTGTCTTTACATAAAAGATCTGACACCTGGGACAAACAACTAGGGGAATAAAAAAAAACAAAAAACAAAACCAACCCCAAAGAGGCTGGCTGGAAAATCTTTCCCATACACATTTTCGAATCACGCACTCTTTTGTTACAAGGAGAGGGTTTCTCTCCACTACCAAAATTCTCTAAAAAGAAACTATATCCCAGCAGACTGGCTAAGTGTGGGTAACAGGGAATGCCTAAAAACGGGAAGACTTTGCATCTGATGTTAAGACTATAAAGAGAAGTACTCTTTCAGTGCTGCAGTTGGGTCTAATCTATTTTGCCGGAATATATCCTAGGTAGGGTATGAGATTTCTTTTTACACCAAGTTGACCTAGTTCTTCCACCTGAACTTTTTTTTGTGTTCAGTGACCGTGTTTTTCAAAAACGACAGTAAACGCTCCATCAGTTTCAGAGCGATAAAGCCTTATAGCAAAGGTATGAATTAACAGGGTTCAAAAGTGGCAACGGAGAGCGGCGAGGAGAAAACTACATGGATGAGTGTGATAAAGTCTGCTTTTCCTACACGCTTTTTTAAAAATAGCTATTCAACTCATCCAGTGTGAAATCCACTATTTAAAGAAAGCCCTAAAACGCATCTTGATGTGCAAGTTCTGGTATGATTTGGAACACAAGACACACGTCACCACATCCCTGTTTTCCCACACATTTTGGCTTCCGCATGGGCAGGTTTAAAGCCCAGGGTTATACGACAAGAAGATTAACCCTCTCATCCCTAAAGCTACTCCTCTCCCCGATGAAACGCAGACCAGGCAGGGCCAGGAGGATTACACTTTTGCCGCTCATGTGGTGCTAGTTCTTTGGATTAACAAAAGGTTTGGCGAGCAGAGCTGTTTATCTGGCTTGTTTCGTACTCTAATTCCCTCCCACTTTTCAAGAAAGCAAGACACAAAGATTGGGAGTTAGCAAAAAAAAAACAAAGCAAAACCCAGTGAAACTCAGATAACAGAGCACATTCTGCGATACCATACCTGTTTCTGCCCAACTGCCAGCAGCGCTGCCAGGGCTGTGACACATTACTGGGGCAGTAATTTTTCCTAGCAACAAAATGCTGATCCTTACTGGTTCAGCAAAACCTGAAGATGAGCAGAGAGGAAAAACAGAAACCCAAACAGTGAATTAATAGAAAGGGCTGGGATGAAGGAGATGATCTGATCACGCAGACAATTACATCATTCGCGAATTGGGATCCAAACGATTTGATTTGCCTTAAAGATCATCAAAACTTCACAGAGGGAATTACACACCCAGAGAGGGTGACAGTAAAAAAAAAAAAAAAAAAAAAAAGTGACAATCTCAGGTCTAGCTCTCCCAGACAAAACACATGGGCTCTTATTGCAGGCTTGGAAATCGCACATGATTCCTTGTAAGAAAAATAAAACCTACGTGGTTTTGCCACTGGTCAAAGACGAGTCGAGGTATAGATAGCAATTGGTACCTGAACAGCGATGGTTTTGTATCTCACCTTCAACAAAACTGGCAAGTTGAAGATGCCAGAGCAATAGTCTGCTCTCGGACTGCTATAAGAAGGTCAGCTTGCTGACAGAAAAGGAAATGGAGGTCACGGCCAACTGGCTGCACAGCGTGGCAGCAGCCCCGCAGGTCCTGGAGCCACCCGCCTGCAGCGGGAGCAAACAGGCAGCATGTCTACAAGCTACGCGCACCACAAATCCAACTTCAAAGAAACACCCGCTTTCCTGCAGAAATTCCATTCCCCTGAAAAATCAGTTTCAGGAATGTTACCATTTTATTTTTGCATCACACACACAAATCTTGAGCCACGGCAGAATTCACTGCAGCTTTGTCCCCCTCTGCCAATCTAGGTGCCAGGTTATTTCTTCTGGTGCTGA